AACAATAGATTGTTTTGATGTGACGTCATAGTGAAATAGGGCAATTAGTTACCAGGGGGTCCTCGGTTCCCAGATGGCAAGTCACGTGCACATTCTACACCAATCGTCAACTTTTTATCAGCTGGGCTATGAAGCATGGAAACGAGCAGTTCGCCATTGTTGAGCTCGTCGTCATCCTAAAATGAAATCATTAAAGATTTGACGTCAGCGAGGTAGTTATAATAGCCCACTTATGAGCCAAACAATAGGAATATTACGCTAAGGTTGGGTGATATTGATATTGGTTGCATTCGGGGAATGATTCTATTTTTCTCATAACACGAGTTTTTTCCTGTTCTGTGGAATTCCGCATTCTATGTATTCCTGTTTGCCAGCGAAACGTACATTTTGCCTGAGCAGAAGAAATGCGTGAGAAACGTTCTGGAAAGGCAACCCCCAAAAACACCCGTTTGTAACAAGATTCAGAAACGACCGGAATGACTTAAAGAAAGAAAATCAAAATGAAAGCAGCTACTGTCGTGACGGCGCGTGTTTTGCACTGGAACGAAATAGAACTTTTAAAATCTAGCTCAACTTGGTTGAGCATTTCCTTTTGTGAATTAAGTTTAAATGTCTGAAGGACTAGCGTCCGAGACGTCAGTAAGTTTTTTCATCTTTACACGGTGTAAAATTTACCTTTTTAACATTACTGTTTCATTAGAAACACCGACGCATCTCACACTAGTTTTTAGCTTGATATCTCTTCTGTCTGTATTCATGGATGGATGCATAAAAAGATGAATATAAAAACTGAACTGATCATGAATCTTACCTGACGCCACTGGAAAAGCTTGGCTTCGTCAATGTCTTCAACTTCGTTTAGCCTAACTGTCTCAGTTGTAAGGAAATTATAAGGTACGGTCGAGAGCGGGTAGTACGCTACACTTATTGGTGAATCAGTAATGTTGTTCTTGATCGTTAACTTTAGAGTCCCTACTCTCATTTGATTGGATGTCAATCCATGAATCGTGAGCTGTTCGTTGAATTCAGGATTTGTGGTTGCCTCTGTTGGATGGGTCTTATCATGCCATATTTGCTTACCATCGAATACCACCGCCACTGAAACAACAAGCTCCATTAGATCTTCACTACTTTCCGTCTGATATACTTGACTTCCTCGTATAATATGAATTTGGAGGTTTCCAAAATCTTGGTCGTAATACAAAGAAAATTCCAGTTTACCGAGAGGGGATGTTGATGATCTGTGTATGGCCGCGATCCTTTTTCCTCTCTTTTTTTGAATGTTCTCCAAGTTTTCGATGGCTTGGTTGTTGATAGCGTATATTGACGGTGGTGATTTCGGTGTTGGGCTGATCTTCCTTCCTACTTGAGCACTTTGAGTGATCAACTGATCAAGAGGTACTGAACCTCGTCTTCCCTGCCTAATATCTTTAGGAATAGGTGATTTTTGCCGTTCTAAAAGTATATCACTGCTTGCTGAAGAAGGTAAAACTGGTTCCTGAACGTGTAGAGGGTAACAAGGAATATCAAAAGCTGGTATTGAGTCTGGTTTGATGATCAGATTTTGCTTGGCCTGATCGTAAGTCTTATGATGTTTCGTTTGCTTGATATTTTTGGGTTTTTTCTTCGATCGGATGAAAACAGCCCAGTAGATGATACCTACGAGTATTCCAGCACCAATACCGCATGCTACTCCAACTAATACTATAAAAAAACATCATATTATTTAAATCACTGTCTACATGTTCACAAGCACGATCAAAAGTAAATCAAATTCACTTCACATTTACGTACCTTCGGTCGTTGTCATTCTAACTCAGTCTTGTCTTAATCCTAAAACACGCTAGCATTGTATCAATAATAATAGTTAATAAACCATTAGTAACTTCTTATTCTAGTCTAGTAGAATTGGTAAACTTTAAGCTTGCCATCTTATGTCGTAGACATGTCTAAGTTCCGTCACACGGAGATGCATTTAAATGTTTTTTAACTAAGTTCAATTGGAGTTTTAAGCCAATCAGCGATAGATATACTTCTAAGGAGTGCTCGCTTGATTACTGTAGTATGACTTTGCTAGTGAATATAGATTATTTAAAGGGTACACTAAACTCGTCATGAATATATTAGCACGCAAAGGTCGATTCGCGACAAATCATGGCTTTATTTTCAGATTGAAGATTAATTCATGGTTATTGATTAGCGAAAAAACCAGGCAAATATTAACTTACATAACGAAAGAAATCGAAAACATACAACGACAAAATATGATCTCAAAGCTGAAAAACGTTTTGAAATTCGCACAAACGGAAATGATGACGCAGGTGAAATATTTTTAGAACAATGTTTTTCCTTCTAATTGGCTGTGATTGGCATTTATTAATTATTAGGTACTTGTAAGAGCCATTCCGTTATAAAAATAGTGCCCTTGGATTAGAGATCTAAAAGAATCGAAACGTCAGTCGATCTGGCTATTAAAACGATACCAAAGATTGGAACCAAAACAACATCGCACAATCATCCGATACAGTGGATTTAAGCTTGTGATGGAGGAAAGTCTTTTAGAATGTAGGTAAATATTTCATGTTGCATGGTGTAATATGTACCTCGAAGGGGACCCCTTGTCCTTTTATCCCCAGCACCACCCCTGCGGGAAAAATCTCGAATAATAAAATACATTAGAAATAGCAAGGTTATAAGTAAATGATAAATTTACAGGCCAATTTTCAAAACAATTGCATTGGATACCGTGAGCAATTGTATTTGTTTAAAGTTCTTCAACACCGTGCGTTTTATATTGCTCGACTTTACTTGCATATCAATTAAGGAATGAAAGAATGTTCTAAGACTGCCTTAAAGGGTGAAGACAGACGAAGGTGTCATCAAATTCACCGAGGAAATGAAAACATGCCCACCACTGCAAAATAAATAAATAAATAAATAAAAACACATTACTTGTGCCACTGCTATCAAGCTGTTATTAACTGTCAAAGATTTTTTAAATTTCGTGGCTTTGAATTTATAATAAGAGGAAAAGTGGCACTTCAAAATTTCTCGATTGTGATTGGCTAGCAATTGTTCTCGGATCAGCTGACTTACAAAGTGACTAAATGAGCGGGAAAACACGTGAGCAATTCATTAATCTTAAAATTAAAGTAAAAGTGACGACTGAAAAATAGCAATTAATTCCTCCATTTCTTTTTATTTGATAAATAGCACCAAACTACTTGAATTACAACAAGAACGACTTACCAAACAATAGGAAAAACTGAAAACACCAGAACAAAACTACTCATTACTTGACATACAGCACTACCTTGCTCGACAGTAGCAATATTCGATTATTTATGCCCATTAATTTATTATAAATTTGTTTGGTCGTCATTGAAATCAGTGATCATAGCTCCGTCCTTGCGTTACGACGGAAATTGTGACGTCAACGTAAAGATAGAATCCAACTCAGTTTTTCCTGTTATGAAATTCATTACGATTTAGACAAATTATCCGTTCTACAAACCCTGGAATATCTTCGCTAGTTTGTTTGTAGTTTATTTATACTGTAGAAAATTAATGGTGGAGTTTTTGAGTTCATTGAAATAAAGTCAGATGGAAAGAGGGTTTACTCTTTTAGTGATTTTTTCCAGCTTGTTCGCTCGTAGCTCCGATAAGGGCATGAATACTTCACCAATGACATAGACATTGTCCTGGACATGATCAAAATCCAGCACCACGAAGTGAACCGTACATTCTCGTAGTTTGTTGTGCACAAACCCAGGGATAATAAAGGTTTCATTGAACACAGGGCTGACTGTACGCGACACTTTTCTCGTCCATTGCCACTGAAGCATCTCGGGTAGAATTCTCATTTTCACGCTGCAGTTTGGTGGGCGCAAAAAACTTTCATCTGGTGTAGGGATCCCTGTTACTTGAATGACTGTGACATGCAGCTCTTTACTTGCTGTATCGTAGAACATCGATGTTTCCATAACACATTGATGTAGGTCACTAGCCTTGTTCAGTAGACTCTGGCTCGGGTGTATCAATTCCCCTGGAGATATATTTGAAGGCAAACTTAGGCCTCTCGTTAGAGGTTTTTTCTTTTTTACAAGTGTTGCATCATCTTTGGATTTTTCTTTCATTTCCTCTACATCTTCAAGGACTTCGCTCTTCTCGCTGCCTATCTCACTCCCCTCTTCTTTTATCACATCCATAGCTCGAAGATCATACGGTTCAGTGACTCGTACTCGTTCAGCTCCATCTTCAGAATCTTGTTCATAGTCCTCTTCTTGTTGAGTGAGTCTGTACAGATTTGGTTGTACAGGAACAGGTCTCGTGTGAGATACAAAACTTTGTGGAGGTGAAGAATAATACTCAATTGATCTTCTGGGTCCGGTAGTGTCGTAAGACTTACTTCTCTTGCGATAGCATAAAAAGGCAAGGCAAACTACGACAGCTCCGGCGATGAATCCCAGTAAACAACCCAAGACAATTCCTAATATACTTGAATCCTATATCAAAACAACAAGTATAGTTTATTTTAGAGTCGAAATTCTCGTTCAAAAACTTTAAATCTCGACCGAATGTGTCTTTATATCATCAATCATATTTAGTGAAATGTTAATTAGGTATTTTTGGTAAGACATAAGAATTTTGAGACCCCAAAACAACGTAAAATACTCACAGACATATTTAGATTCGTCTTAACATGTTTCCCGCTCTTTTCACGTCGACCTCAGACCGGTGCAGGATTCAAAACATCGTAATACGAGAAGAGAGATTTTGGATCATCTTGTTGCGGACAAATGGTGTTCGACCCTCGAGGGATTAAATTACGAATATCAATGACTTCACAAGAATTTCACACAATATCTTAGTGACATTGAATTGTTGTTTAGTATGCAGTTATTGAGGTGGAACGCTTAGCAACGACATGAAAAATACCATATTAATGACAACAAATCTCATCAAAAATATTCCCTACCTCAAATATTGGGGAAATTTGAATAAAAATGTAGTTCAACTCTACGGGAGTCGAGAAATCAAAGCTAAATTATGAAACTACATGTTCAAGTTGACCGGTCAACCAGCGATGTTGACAAGTGCATTGAATTTATATTTAAAACATTAAACGTCACGAAATATTAAAGAACAAGAACAATCCGTACAAATCCTTGGCTTTGTACAACCCTTTTCTCTTATCAAAGCGTTACATCATTTCCTACACCAAAAACAGCGGCTTTTACTAAGTGCTTAGAGAAGAAACGTTATTCACCACATGAGGTGACAGAAGCTAGGATACAGAGAGTGGACGTCACGCGTGGACGTTCATTACTTGAAGTATAAATGTTAATATATATGTACATATATCATTCATATGTCAACAAGGGAACATGTTTTATTAAATCTTAATGACATTTAATTCACGTTAGAGTACATTTAAATGTTATCTTTTATTTTTTTCCTAATGAAGATAGTTTATTGTGGGAATGGGGCTGTGACCTATAGTGTCCACAGACCACAACATTACGTGGCAATGGAATGGATTTATGCAAATGAAAATTCCGTGTTATTTTCAAAGCATCTTTGTAGAGAAACTTCAAGCAAATCTCCTCTGCTCAATAGATTTAAATTTGACGTCTTTGTCTTTCCTCGGCGCAGAATACGAAAGACTCATACCTTCGTGGCACTTTTCTCGCGCTTTCTTTCATGATAACAGACTCCGTGCATAAATATGGAATTCTCAGTGGACTCCTTAACATTTGAAATCACATTTGAGTTCGATTGGGATCTATTTGTCAACTTTAACATGCATTTTATTGGTCAAACTCAGTCCAATCTCACCTTTTATTTTAAATTTGAAGAAAAAATATTTAGCTTCTTCTGGATTGTGTTTGAATTTTTCTATCTGATGTTTCGTTTATAAGTTTATGCCATCTTTCCTCCAAAACTCCTGGTTTAGTGACGATGCTATTCCAGTGACACCATCCCGTGTCCTCCAGCGAGTCCATTCCAAGTTTTACAGTCCCAATCAGGCTGTGATTGGCCGCATTATTGATGACTCGCAGTAATAGCAAAGATGTTTCTATTCTATTGCTGTTCAGTTCAAACACATATTTTACGTCAAATACAGGATTACGTTGCTGCCATTTTGTTACTGTCATTCTCTCTTCTAACACGTTCCCAGCATCCTTCAGTGTCACAAGTACGTAGGGATCTACGTCATCACAAATTTAATATATTTTAATATTTTTATTATTTAAAATTTTTTATTTTTTATTATTTTTTTTTATGGGTTTACTTGATTAGAGTGAATAAAGTTTAGAGTTAAATCGCTTATATGGCTGGATCTAGTTTTAGCTTTGTGGGAGTGCTGTGTAAATATATACGAGAGTGGAATGGGGTGAGAGCTAAAAATAAATATGAAAAGAAAGGGTCTGGGAAAGACCTATCAGAGCTAGTATAAAACCTGATAGTGAGAATGTTAATACTGAAGGCGATGGCAAGGAATATTATTCACTCACCTGTCTCTCCAGTCGAAGACACCGCTGGGAGCCCGCGAACTTTGATGACATGAACCAGCAGCTTTTCCTCAACAGAGTTGTACTTCAACCCAATACAAACCGCACCCACTGGGACAGGGGTGCTCAGTCCAGTGGAAGGAATCTATTGACAAACAATGAATACATTAGATTTAATTCTTGATGACAAATATAGACCAATCAAATTACCGAGTGGGTAATCATTCAATCACAATGCATTACCCATTTGATAGATAACTATATTCAATAGGATACTTACATCGTACGATGCTGAAGTTGCTCTTCTCAGAAGATAAGTTTTCTTGATCTTATCACGTGACACCAGGTCTGCAAGAGGTACATTAGCAATCCCAACACATTCGTGGGACCGACCTCTGACTAGCTTCAATTTTAACGCAGATATTTGCAGCTCTCTGGTTTTGATTGAGGCAACATGGAACAAATGATTAAAGACGAGAGAGTTCTTGTATTCCTTGATAATCTTGGACTTTTGTGTGCTATTATCACGAGTGATGACCAACATTTCCACAAGAAAGTCTTCTTTAGGTCTGACGTATTCATGTCGTAGGGAGTAAGCCTTCAACACTGTTGCATATAGAACAGGCTTATCTGTGTCACTTCTAGCATAAAACAAACAAACCTTGATTTTACCAACAAGTTGTTTTGAACGTGATTCATCTTTCCTCGTAGCATTGATATTCGCATTTTCTAGAGAACCATTTTCTTGTGATGGGGAACCATTTTGCAAAGAAGTAGGAATTACTTCTTTCATATTGATTGTTTTCTTGTGTTTTTCTCGCTGTAATGCCCTCAGCATTCCAGTTAGTGCAAGAGGGTCTTTACCCAGACTCATTCGCGGATAGTCACGTGATGTAGCTGTACCTGGATGGAGTTCAGATTGACCATCGTTTGGTGTACTAGACCTATTTGGTCCATCTTCTGCTAAACCACCTTTACTTCTTGTACGAATTACCTCGATAGCTTTCTTTTTGATAATATTGTCTCTTAATGAACCTTGGGCGTCATGCTGAGCAAGAGGGTTAGATTGAACATTAACATCAACACTCCTCTCTAAACAATCCTTTTTGGTCGCCTCCTTCCTCAGTTCTGACACATTATGTACGACGTCACCACCATGAATCTTCGCGAAAAAGAAGTTTTCCTTGTTTTCATCCCCTCTTTCCTGTTCATTGTTTCTAACATTTTTTTCTTCTAATATTATTCTCTCTGTTCCCCCTTCAAAATTTTCCTCCTTTGGTTGCTTAGCAACGCCATCTTCATGGTTCTTGGTAACTATATTTTCCAGACTATCATTATCTTCAATGAAGTCTTCCTTTTCTGACTGTACAGCCATACTCAATGTAACACTAGCAGTACCAGCCACACTAAGGCGATCACATGACTCACCAAACCCACTTGCTCCACGCATGTCATTTGTGTCTTGACCGCTGACTCCAGTCAACCAGCAACTTGTCGTTTCTCCATAAGTACGAATAACATTTTCTGGTGGTTTGTGGTTGGTTCCATCAAAAGAACTAGCGCCTCTAACGTCCGTAAGATGGTAAAAATCAGGTTTGATATCACGTGGTTTGCTATCACGTGACTCTGTGCCAGGTTTCCCAAACGCACTCGCTCCTCGGGTCGGCTCACCAAACGCGCTCGCTTCTCTTATCGTTGATGTAGAGTGTATGAAAGACTCAGCAAAACAGCTTGCACCTCGACCTGAATCATTCAGATGAGGATTATCCACGACTGTCACGTGACCTGTTGTCTTGCATTGCACCTGACACTGGTTACCATGGATGCATAGAGCGCTTGGAGCTCGTATGACTTTGAGGCGACTCAATCTTCCTCCCTTGGCGCAGTGACCATCATTTAACATGACAGCTGAATCTGAACTGCATCCTTCGCAGAATCGATTCACGTCATTTCCTTCGCTCTTACTCTTGTTATTTTCTGTCTGTCTGTCCTTTTTTTCATCCACTCTTTTGTGACTGACTCCATCATCGATCCTTGGCTGTAAACGCTTGAGTATTTCTAGCTTGTCTTTCTTGCTCAGTTTGTTGGGTCGTTTCCATTGATATGAGGCGTCAAGTATGCCCTGTCCAGGAAGAATTTCACCAATCCCCTTTTGTATCTGAAATTCGTCGATTAAAGAGGTTGTCACCCTGTCATCAGCCGAGGAGCCGCCATCACATGGCTTACTGTATGAGCCTCTTGAATCTGCTGAACATCTGTCAACGTCATTACAGTCGTCTGGTTTGGCAACAGATCCCAGACTGTCACGTGATGTATCCAATGAGAGAACTTCTTGTTGGGTGTTTTTGTCATGGGTTGTTTCTAAAGGAGCACTCTTGCTTCGATATCTTTGATTGTCATTTTGATCAGGCAGGGCTTGAGTATCCATCGCCGAACAAGCTAATCGTCTGTCGTCCCTCGAACCAATAAGACTCCGTGTTTCATCATTCCTTGATCGTTCACCTGAATCTAAGTAGCACTGTTGTGTGACAGTTTCATTCTCCAAGCGTGATGTATCATTCTCCTTCTCCCCAATATTCACAGGTATTTCGACATCATGTGCCTGGTGTATTGGACTCAAACAAACGTCTCTAGTTTCTGGTTTCGTCACAGGCAATGTCCCGGCAATGGCTGCTACCTCGTCATGAACTGGTGCGTACTGAGGCAAATCACTGTACGTTGCCATGACAGCCTCAACTATGTCATTGTTTTCTTGCTGAAGGACTGGGGATAGTCGAGGAAAGACGATACTACCAGACAGAAAAGTAAAGTCAATTCCTTCGTAGTCTTCATTCTTGTTATTTCTTTTGTTTTTGTCAGAGCCGCAGCAAGAGTTAGTGGATGATAATAAAAACCCGCCAAAAACAAGCATTAGTAATGCTCCAATGGCGGGAAAAACCAATGACGTCACATCCGGTGATGTCGAGCCTACAATCTGCTGGTTATCCGCACTGCGGGCGTGAGGGAATTTTTTATCTACAATCTCTGCAAGTAGAACAAACAACTATTAATTCGCGTTTTAAACACTTTACAGAGAGAATTGTATTCATTAACCAACAAACCTGTCAACTTATAATAAAACACCCGAGATACGAGTAAAAATACAGGTCACGCGCCACCTGCGAGTCTACTGGGCATGCGTGAACCAGTGGTTTGTTTTCATTCAATAATAGTGAAAAGGCAAGCAAGTAAACATGAATTAATATCCATTTTGAGTGAAACACTGACAGAGTTAATACTTCGAAGATCGAAACAAATGCTCTAACTCGTTTCTTTGTTGGTTTGTAAGGATATTTTTGTTGCTATTGCCACACCTCGAGGGGTGGTTTGTCGACCATTGATATTCTCCGATCTGATCATCGCTAGATCTGTACATACATACTCAAGGGTGGAGCCCAAGTTCAGCACGACCAACTCCACAAGAATGAAAGAAAAAATACACAGCACAGTGCTAGACGAAATAGCTTACTACATTAAAGGCACAAGTGACAATGTTTGCCTAATGCTTCGTTCCTAGCGACTAATAAAATCTATTTGGTCTAAAATAAAGTTGGTATCATTGACACACGTGTTGAATGATTCAAGTTTTTTTGCAAAGATCTGCAGCACAAAAATGCACAAAAACACTCCTTTCTAGTAAGCCTTTCGCCTCATAAATTCGCTTAGAATTTCTCTTATAACCAGGATGAAAATCAAGGTTTATTGAGTAAGAAATAATCATTTGATCTTCTGCAGTGTAGTGTGAAAGGATCCAGGTAAAAGAGTGACAGGAGACGTTGGGCTGCTTTCACAAGACAACAACACAAATACTACTGAAAATACTACAAATAATCCGAAAAACATGATGTGAACTTACTGTTCCACTGGTGATTACTTCTCCAAAACGTTGAATTCATGATTTATGACATTTCTGTAAAGAAATTACACTCAATTTGAATATAATGACTAGACTTATTTGTCGTAGTTCATCCTTGCATATCACCGTTCTGCATGTCAGGTGACTTGGCGTGACTTCTGCGTGACCGAATGATGTCGTGACCCGTTCAGCGCATACGGTCGATCAAGTGACCGCTTGAGCTACTTTTAAGGGTAAGTTATAACCTGTAAAAATCGATAAATGTCAAAGTAAAAAGCAATCTTTACCGTCCAATTTAAATATTTTTTCAATATACAAAAAAGGCAAACGGATATTCTTAGATTAAACAAAGCAATCACGTGACACCGGCAGGGGCAGGTTGATATGTGACGTCATAGCTGCCGTCTGTTAATAGAGTTTTGAAGCGCGGGAAGTTGGTTTGCCTTGAGAGATGAGTTCTAATATGTATTCATGGAAGAGACCCTAAAACACAACTGAAACATGTCTATGCCTCTGAAATTCAAAGGTAAGGTTGTGTATGAGGTAATGTTGAAGTTATCGAAGTCTTGTCAAATAAGATGATATACTTCGCTCGTATTGTTCTTGTGGAAGAGTGTTTGGATTGCTCTTTCTGTTACGCCATGTTTATAGCACCGTCAAACCATCCAAAAACAACAATTAAAGAAATGACCCTTGAAATTTATTCTCATTAATCACTCCACTTCCTTTTATTCGCAGTATATGAAATCAAAACAGCAATTTTAATGTTAACTACGGAATCAAAGAATATTCAAATAATTTGACAAATAGTTCAGAAATACCTGTCGAGTGTTCTTTGTTCGTTCTTCTGAGGATTTGCGACCAGTTTCAGTACACGTGGTATAGAAACTGAAATCAAAACAAAAAATTTTGGTTCCAAAACAAGCCAAAATTGCTTCTCTAATTATTAGCGCCCAAACCTTGAATAAATTTGTTTAAGATTATTTTGTATTATTCAAGGCGCGAAAATGGAATCTGGTTTGACCTCAGATAACAAACAGACTTGTTGAGATTTGTAATTTTAAGACGTTATCTCGATATAATAGTGAAGTTCCACATTTTTCTTGTTTGGTCAAAAATTGAATATATAAGAAACGGACTGTGATATGATATCGATCCAATCAGTTGCACTCACATATAACTACCGTACTAGGATGACATCACAATTTCTTCAGATATCTAATAGTGTTTCATAGTCTAAATTCGACGTACTAAGAATAACGATTTACAAGTGTTCAAAAACTGTTTTTGACTTAATGTCAATTTTATTCCGCTTATCGATCAAAAGGAAAACATTTCGCTTGTGAATATAGAATGTTGTTCATTTTTGCTTTGATTTTTAAGAGATACTAATTTTAAAACAAAATGAACTAGATAGATTGTCATAATAAAAAAATTTTTTTTTTTTTGCCGCTAGCATTATTGCTAATATATTGTTTTCATGATATCATGATATTTTATTTAACCAAACCTCTGCAGTTTGAGTCAACAAAACTCAATCTGTCTATCAAATATGGAAATAAACTCGTATCTTAGCAAATAAACCCGACTTTATCTGGCCCGCTTACTTCGTGTGTAGGTACACTAATCCTTGTATCCTGCTCTCTATACCGTATCATGGATCTATTTGTTAAGTCAGTGTAATTTTTTACTGAGTTGAATAATTGCTCAAAAAGTTTCATTTTCACGGAAAGTGCTGAATCATTGTTGTCTTTGCTAACAAGCATAAAGTCAACTTTGAACAAAATTTACACAGGCAGTCGGTGTAATCACTCAATTCGTCCGATACGATGGGTAGTTTTTGCTTTTAATCTAAGATGACTATTACACTAAATCTAACCGAAATGTGCTCGTATGTTCGTCAATTGACTCAACAGTCACAAAAACAACATAATAGTGGTAAGAACTACTGGAAGATTGTTTGTATTGTGGTCGTGTCGAAAGGAGAATATTTGCATTTCAAGAGTCCAAACCGAATAATTGTTTTGGCATCAACTTGTAATGGACCTTTGTATTTTATATCTCAAAAGATCAATATGACCTTTTAAACACAATATTCAATATTTATGATATTTCAACGTAGTTCAATTTGATCTTACGGTAAAAAATATTCATTAAGATCACCCATGTGGGCGCATGCGCAGTCCCTGAAATTGATTTTGCTATTTTATTGCGTTTCAGATTTCGACCCTCGTCGTAGCAAGCAAAACACGAGCTACATCAGTCGTATGATATGGCAGAACACAGGTGTGACGTGTTTTATAGGATTGTTGGTATTCCCTGTGGTCATTGGCTTAGCGATTGGATATCTTATCGTACTAGGAGGCGTGACAGGGTACAGGAAAATCAATACAAGAAACAAGAATAATGATAAAAATAAAGATGGTTATCAGCGAATCAAGGTTGTGTTGGGGGAAGAATTAGTAGAGAGTTCTTTCCCTGACACTGTGTCGCTCAACGTACAAGATGGCGCACGAGATAGATCAAACTCTCAACCCAAAAAGTATTATAACCATCGCTTGGTAAACCAGAACACAGACAATGGATATGTGAAAACATTTAGGCAACAGGATGGCAGGGAATCAGCGGAAGATACTGCGCATGAGTTGAACCAGGAATACCGCAGTGCAGACGAGAGTGATGGCTCAAGTCTGCATGCTTCAATGGAGGACAATATTGATAAAACAGAAGACGAAGAACACGAAACGAGAAGAAAAGAACAAAGGAAAACTAGGTCTAACAGGACTTATCACAGTCCAAAGAAATTAAACACAGTTGAACTTGACAAGTTACTATCTCCCGACTCACCAGAACATGGGACACTTGGAAAACTGCGCTTTGCGCTTCACTACAACGCGCTGAATAACGAACTGCAAGTGAATATAATCAAAGCCTCTAACCTCCCTATTTACGACAACAGGGAGGGTGTTAACCCGTATGTAAAGATAAGTCTTCTACCACAGCAGTTCTGTTGGCAAAGGACTAAGATTATAGAGAACAACTCTAACCCTGTCTTCAACGAAAGCTTCGTTATTTCAGGATTTTCTAAACAGAGAATCGATGATTACACTCTACGTTTCTGTGTGGTGAATTACCATGATCAGTTTAAAGATAATTACGCTGATGATGTGTTGGGAGATATTCACTTTCCTCTAACTGCACTCAATACTATCGATAACAAACCAACTGCATCGATCACTAAATGGATGAACCTGCAGCCTGTCCCCGTTGGCAGAAAGGTACTGTACGCATGCGCACTTTGTAATCTCACTCATTATTAGTTACGATATACAACCCGACGAATCTAGAACTAGATCTTTCGACAAGCTTTAGGAAATACACAAAAACAGTATTTTAGACGTGAAAGCATAGCAGAAAAAGCCGGAAAATACTTACTTATAATCCATCAAATTATTTTCAGTGATTTTGAATGATCTATTGCTTGTTTTCCAGCTTGAACCAGAAGAACTTGGGGAGATATGTGTATCCCTTTGTTACCGACCAATCAGCGGTCGTTTTATTGTCACGCTGACCAAAGTTCGTGGTCTTCCCAAAGTAGCACTTGATAGAACAGGTGAGGACTCGAATCATCAACAGTTGTGAAACCGCTTTCTTTAACCTTCTTTCACGTAGCGCAGCGGCAGTAATCTTATGACATGCGCAGCGGCTCTTGGGTTTGCTTTAGATACCCTACAGACATGCGCACTGGTTTGTTTTAGATACCCTACAGACATGCGCACTAGTTATTGGATTTGTTTTAAATACCCTACTGACATGCGCACTAGTTATTGGATTTGTTTTAGATACCCTACTGACATGCGCACTAGTTATTGGATTTGTTTTAAA